AACCACTCTGTGATTCTATGATTTATTGCCTTTAGCAAAGGATGCTCATTTAGGGGGAAAGGTTTGGATTTTGTTTTGCCTTTGTAGTAACAAGTAGCAGATTCCAGTTTTGATCAGACAGACATTAACTGGTCACCCCTGGCCTCCTCCTGCCAACTGAGCAAGCAAAAGAAAAAGAAGACACACAGCGAAGGCACCCACAGGATCAACTGATAGGGAATCAGAGTCCCAACAACAGTTACAGGATTTATTCTTTTATCTCACCAAGGCAGAACAAAAATATTGTAGCACGTGCTGTGACATTTATTGGCATTGTTTGTGCAGAGCAGCTGTTTGACTCCACATGTTGGAGTCAGTGAGAGTCTGAAAGCATTCAGAGTCTTCACTCAGGTCTGATGGCAGGACTGGAAGTGAAAGTGTATGGTATTGAGAGGCAAGAGGCTGAGGATGGGACTTGCTAAGAGTCAAACACTTTATATTGCTGCTTGGTCTAGTGGAAGGTGTTCCGGTCCGTGGCAGAGGGGTTGGAACTACGTGACTACGTGATTTTTAAGGTCACTTCCAACTCAAACCATTCTGTGGTTCTATTTGAAAATAGAAAATCTGTGAGAGAAAAGCAGATTTGTGGAGCTGCCTCTCTCCCCCTTTTCTGTCAGCTGCTCTAGTTTGGTTGTAACTGGCTCAGAGTGAGTGATGAATCCTTCATTCTCCCACATCCAGTAAGACTTTAGTTAACACTAAATTTGCCAGAACTTCTGAGATAGTGATAGAAGCCCTTCTTAGAGACACAGAAATTACATTTCCAAAGTTGTCACTTGCCCCCTGCTTCCTCTGGGCAGTCACTCATGTGGCCCAGAATGGGAGGGAGAATGGCAATACTGTTAATTCCTTTCCTGGTCCTGGAAGAGGAAAAGAATGAAGGAAAGGTTTGATTTGGAAGGTCTTCACGATCTGTTGTGAGTGATGGCCTGGCTCAGCACCCTGAGGGGTTGCTGCGAGGAAATGACAGGAATCAAGGAGCAGGGAAGTCCTGGGGAGCTGGCAAAGCCCAGCAAGCTGTTGGGGTCCCCTTGCTCCTCCTCTGAAGCTCATGAAAACTTTGGTTATTAAAACCTATTTACAGAAGAACAAGTAAATTTCCAGAGGGGAATGTGATGGCATTAAACATCTTCACAATCCCCTTGGGTGCTGTTGTATGAGACTGGAGCTTACAAAGGCAACACCTCAAACACCAGCCATCAGAGTGTCCCCTGAAATGGGGGACTGCAATTTTATTGAGGCTTGTGAAATATGGCAGGTTTTGCTGCCTTTACAGTGCTATAGCAGATTACTAGCAGGAGAACTGACAAACTCTGTTTGCCTGTGACCAGCCTTACTAATGTATTATTCAGCCGTGATTATGTTTTAATGGTCTAAGAAGTGTAGAAATGTTTCAGCGTGACTGAATGGGAGTGGTAGAGATCAGTAATTATAACATCTTCATTATAAATATGGATATACCTGAAGGTTAGAAATGATGTGTCTTTTCTAGTGGAGTAACTAGTTCTATGCAGTATAGTGAGAGATGTGTGTGAATGGTTTTCTCTTGTTTAGCAAGCATTTAGAGAATTGCCCTAACACTGGTAAAGGGCAGGTCTCTCTTTAGTAAACCTCTAACTTCTCAACTAAAGAATAGCTGTTTTTCATCTTTCTCCCCTATTTCCCATTTACTGATGAGGGGAGTCCTGACACATATCCAGTACAGCATGGTTTTCTAAAGACTTTCACCTCCTGGTTGGATTCCTTGCTGTCTGATAAGGAATAAGTTTACACTGCAGTCTGTACCATGGAAACGCTTCAGGCCCTTCTCCTCTATCTTGATGGTTCCTTTCAGGATTCAGTAGTCAGCTGAACGAGATAATTTCTCATCAGTCAAATGTGGTTGCAATTTATTTTATAATGCCAAATCAACATCACTTGCAATAAATTTGATAGGGCAGGTGAGCTGAAAACCTGGAGATTGACAGTGAATTTGTTAGGCCTATTGAAATGGAGGTAGGTCCTCCAGGTAGACTGGTAGGCTTAAATTGGTGTGTTTGAGTGTGCATCAGTACTTAATTTTACCACCTCAAGGACAGAATTATGCTTTTGGGAGTGTCATGCTTTCCTTGCAGTGCATCCATGACCTGCTAGCTGGACTTAGCTGGGCTGTCTGCATCCTGCTGGATTTGACTGGCATCTCTTCTCTCCGGTGGCTCCTCCAGTTCTGTTCTGGGGCAAGAGGAGGGGACTGCCAGTGGCTTTGGGCTGCCTGTGTTAGCTCCTGTCACACTCCCAGCTGTGTCAGAGGCCATGGGCTGCCCTGTCCTGTGCCCAGTCACATCCTCAGGAGGACATTGGAATACTTTTTCCAGGGCAGAGATGGCATAAAGCCCTTACACCTGCCCTCTGGTAGCCTTCCCTGGACAAGGAATATTTAGACAACTGTTTCCACCCATTAAGTGGCCTGAGTGCAGCCAAAGGCTCTTGGTATAGCTGAAAGTCATGGTGTATCACACCCTGCACAGGCAAGTGGGTCATGCTCAGACATGTCTGTCATTGATAGAGGCTGAAGCTTTGCTGTCCTCTTCCTTCAAAGCAGTATCATAAGATATCTAATATTGAAATATCTTGTTATTTTACTACTTTGAACTGGAGGGCGAGTGCAAGACAAAAGATTCAAAAGGGAAGCTCAGGCAGTAATGTGTTTACTACGTGAAAAGTGGGTTTTAAAGCTTTGAAAGGGTTGTAATGCTCTTCTTCCTTGAGATGCTAATGCTGAAACTTGAAACAGAGCACAGTATCATTAGCAATTAAATGTGTCTGTGTGCTGCTCTTACATCTTGTAAGGCTCTCGCAAATCAAACGGGTGAGGTGCACATGTCTAATAAAATAATGATTTGGAAAGCAGAGTTCCAAAGCCCTGTTTGCAATTCACAGGAGCTTCATGCCTGGCATATTTGTATAAGGTTTTAGAATTAAATTAATTGCCCCAGGCTTTGTACTTGTAAAGGATTGATTTTTGTTCTTTACCTGTGTGTTGTTGGTACTTTGCCTTTCTACGCCTCAATTCCAGCAGCTTTTGTGCTGTATCAGTCCAAGATTTTAAACTTTAATTTTCTGCCTTTGAATTGCTTATACTGTTCTTTTAGTGGCAAAAATTACATGTCAATAGAGAGATACACAGATAACTTCCTGAAGAAGTCCATTCCAGATTTTGAGTAGCATATTCAAGATTACAGATGTAAATACCTATATCCAATGAATAAAACATTTTAGCAATAAAGTGGAAATACTTCTGGATCCTGTCTGTAGAAGCCAATAGCTGAGCAGGAGTGGATTGGAAATAAATTTTTGGTGAATGTGTTTATTCCAGTTATGAGTTTTAACATTTCTGACACCTGTTTTATGTTTATTTTGCTAAAACAAAAATAATGTGTGTGCATGGGTATGTGCACATATGTATGTTTATTATGCACATGATGTATTCGTTACAGCAAACGTAATGTAAACATACAAAAGTTCACATTACTTTAAATACTGAGCTTAACTGTCAACCACAAAACATATTTGCAAACTCTTTCAACATGTGTAACATATACAATCCTAATTAGAAACAGCGCAATAGCAGAGCTGCCCATATGGTAGTGATAATTATGTTGAAAGAGTTTGTCTTGTGGCTCAGAATTAAGTTTGGAAGATCCAATGGGAACGGTCTCATGTTCAGGGTTTGTAACATGCCTTTAAAATGTGTATGTGAGTGATTGGCCACGGCCAGGCTGGGTTGGATGAGTTAAAGATGAGAGGGTTGATACGGTGGTCATTTGAGAGGAGGAGGAGGAGGCAGTGTTTAATGTGTATCCCTAGCAGAGTTATTGAAGGGTTGTCTCAACAAAGGTAGTGTTGCATGTTTGTATATGTGTTTTATGTATGTTATCTTTAGAAAATTATTCCAAAACATGGGTAGGTATGTTGTGCTCCAAGGCACACCTGAGACAGTGCTGTCCGTGCCAGGCTCCAGTGATTTCAGAGCAGGAGCTATGGTATGTGCCCCTCTGGCACACATAGGAATGGATATAAATGGGAAGCATAATTTCCAACAGAATAATTAGAACTGCATTTATGAATGGGTCAGGGCTCTCCACTGAGAGCCTGCTTTAAAATAATTAGTTATTTCCTCAGCACACTTGTGAGCAGCCCGTGCTGTACTTTGCCAGGTTAAATATGCTAAGGCAGGATGCAAGCCTAGGAGAAAATGGGGATATTTAGCTTTCCATTATATATGGGCAAATAATAATACCTATGAAGATAAAAGCAGTGGCTACAGCAGTAGATAATGTGGGTTTTGTGATAAATACTACTAGGTTTACAGCTGCTTCTGCCTTATCTCTCAAACACATCCTATGGTTTCCATGTCCTTCAAATCAGTGTGAAACAGAAGCAAGTTGTGCTCTGAAAAGAGACAAGTAATTTGCAACACCCAAGTGATGTTTTAGGTGAAATAATGTAGAACATATTTGTATGTATGAATCACAGTCTTTTATTAATAACACAAAATGTAGCACTGTAAGTGTGGGACATATTGTATTAACCTAGAAGTGTTCAATTTGTAGGCTTAAAATCTGGACTAAAACACTGTAGTGTGTTACTAATGGCAAACACTGAAATGTTTAGTGTGGCAGTGTGCAGAAAAATCCCCATTTTGATTCATTAGGGTTTATTCTTGGAAAAAAAATGTGTAGTGGCATTTTACAACAGTTACAATGGAAATATGGAGGCACCAGAGGAAAATCCGTCTTGTTTTGGTTTTAGGAACCAACAATTCTCTGTGAATATACAAATCAAGATCAAAAGAAATGGATGTTGTGAGTGAACCTGCTGTCACAGGCATTTTATTATGAATTTGAATTTACTAAGAGTCTTTAATTCATATTTATTAACAGTCCTAAGTGTTAACTTCTCATTTTAATAAAGGCCCTTTATTCCTACTCACTACAGAGCTTAGAGTGTAAAGTTCAGAGAAAGTTTCTGTAGTTGCTGGTTATAAACCCATCTCTCCCACCTCCTGGACTTGTGCTCAAGGACAGTGCTGTTGATACTGTGAATTTGCAAAGTCAAAATCTCGGCTGATCTTTGGTCTTGGCATCTTTATTTATTTCTGCTTTGGTCTCTGAAGGTCAGTCACTTGCTGTGATGTGAGAAGGAAAAGAATGCAGGGATAAGAGGAATAGTGTTCTAATCCTTTCAATGCTGTTGGGGGAGCAACTTCTAACTTAATACCTGTTTCAGTTATTGACTCCATTTTGTGGAGAAATTGAATGTGTGCATTTTATTGATTGTGTAAACACTGGCCCACTTTGGGAAGCGCATTCCTGCCAAGTATCTTGGGTCGGTCTTCCATGAACGAGGGAATTGCTTGCTTTGAAATCAATGGGATGAAGCCCGTTTGTACCTGACAGAGTTCTTCCATAGCAAACATGTAACCCCATTTCTGATGGTGAGCAGTGTGGGTCTGGGTTGTTTTGCCTCAGCCATTTCCTCCATCAGTATGATCTGAGCCAGGCTTCCCTTCACACATGCCAGTGTATTTAAACAATCATCTGCAATTTCATGTGGCAAGGGATGGAGCAGGGGGTTGTGTAGGAAAATGCTGGGTAGCACAGCTGCTCTGATGCAGCTGAACTTTTTTGACTGGACATGCTGGTGGTCCCAGAATTTCACTTCCATGGCCTGGCTCTGGAGCAGCTGCTGCCCAGCCCTGGTGCCCAGCTCGGTTCCACTGGCCCTGGTACAGGACTATAATGTGGCTGGTCCCTCCACAGCAACAGGTGTGAGTCAGATTGTGCTCCTATGGTTTAGTGCAAGGCTTCTGCCACCTCCTGCTTTGGTGGAGTGCTTTTATTGAGCAGAAATGGATTTCTTTTGAGGGCATGCATCTCCTATATAACGTGGTCTGGGAGCTCTTTTCATTCTACCAGATATTTCTTAGTTTGGAGAGAATATGGCTTAAACTGTCCAGTCATTATGGTAACAGATACCAGCAAATGTTGGTCCATTTGGAGTGATGACTGAATTTTTTCATTCTTATTAAAAAAATGCCCTATTTGTGTGTTTTGCTCTTCCTACCGCTCTGGCTGCATGTATGGCAGCAATAGGAAAACAAACTGGGAGACAAAAGTGGCCTGAGTCTGTCTCACAGGCAGAAATTCAGAAACTCCAGGAGGATTGTCCCTAGACAAAGATAATGCATGCACTTACCTCTGTAAATCCCAGCGTACTTACTCCTCTCCTCCTGGCTGTTCCCTGGAGTCACAGGCAGAAGGATACTGGGTTTCTGCAGCATATCAGCACTGCTGCTGGAGCTGGGAGGCGCTTTGGCTCCGGGTAGTTCATTGTTTGGGGACAATGACTGTGTGCAGAGCAGGGGCTGGCTCCTTCCTCGGCTTTGCGAGCAATTAAAGATGTTTAAAATAGGCAGCAGTGCTTCCAGCCCTGCCCGTGGGGATGAAAGCACGCCTTGTTTGTGTGCCAGCCAGATGCTGGTGCATCGGATTACATCTCTGCACAGATCCTTGTCCCTGTGTCCGTGTGAGTGCTAACAAATGCTGGTTTGGATGTGTCCCAGTAACTCCTGCAGCAGGGATCTGTCCCTCGCTGCCGCTCCGCGGTGCTGAGCTGATGGAGCGCTGGGGGGTTCGTTCTGGGCACTTGGAGTGATGTGGGCCCCGTGATTCCCTGTTGCCTTTTGCTTTACACACCTCATATTTTGTGACCATCCTCTTCTGTGGCACAGCTTTGCTAAAGCCACCAAGAGCTGGTGTTTCACTGGTATGTGCTGTGTCTGAGCTGCCTCAGATGATGCAGTCGTTTTTTTGGCCTGGTGACAATTTCAAGCAGATACATTTTCCTGTTCCTCTCATCTTCTGTGCTTGTTTTTCCGGTACAAAACATCCCTCTGTGAGCCTTGGGAAAAAAAAAAAAAAAAAAAAGGGGTGTGTTTTTCCCCTGATGAAAGGTTTCTGTCCTAGAACTATCAGCTACCCAGGAACCACAGATCAGAGCTGTCCCAGCTGGACTCTGAGTCCTTATGTTCATAGAGCAGCAGTGCCTTCCTCTCTTTCTGGCTCAGCACCATCCAGTGCAGGCTTCTGCCAAAACCTCTTACAGCCCTGGATCACTGGCTGTTTAGCAACAGCCTTTCAAGCTTTGAGAGAGGATGGAGTGATGCCATGAGGCAAAGAGCCCTCCACTCCTCCTTCCTTCGTGTGAGAGAGCAGAAACTCACACAGGAACTCTCACAGGAACAGTGGATCCAATTCATTTGCAGCCAAGTTCTGTAGGGTTTGTCCTGGGGATTTGTGAGCTTTGCAGAGCCAGAGCAGTGCCTTGTGTTTCCACGGTACACAGCACGGAAAGGGACTGAGAACAGAGTGAAATCCATAGTCATGGGTTTGGGTGTGGAACCCCCGGCCTGTCGGAGCATGTGGGTGATCCACTGTGACTTCACAGGACAAAAACTCCAGGGGGAACGTGTTCAGGGTCTGGTTTTGCCTTAGTTACCCCAGGAACTCAGATGTTTGAAATAGAACCAAAGGAGTGACTTTGGTGGGGGTCTGGGTGAAGGGAGGCAGCACCCAAATCATGGAATCATGGAGTATCCTGAATTGGAAGGGAACCCCAAGGATCATCAAAGTCCAGCTCCTAGCCCTGCACAGGATCAAAGCTGCTGAGGACAGCAAATTTCTCTGAATGTGAGCATGAATTGATTCCTCTCAGCTCTTGGGCCCTCTCAGACTTTCTCTTCCAATGTTTCTTTGGGAAGCTATGTTCCAGGAACTCAGGGATGTTTCTGTTTGGTGGCCCCCTCTCCAGTGTGGCTGCAGGAGTGTCCCCATGCTGGTGGCTCCACAGGGTCAGAGGTGCCCCAGGACACCTGGGGCTGTGGGCTCCTGCTCTGCCCAGTGACAGGATGAAAAGGTGAAAGGGAGCAGAGGGTTTGTCTGGGGATATTTTCCTTTGACAAGTCACTTGTTTCTATTTACAAGCTCTACCAGTGTTTTAATGGGGGTAATTATCCTTGACCAGGTAAGTGTAATGGCCTGCTGCCTCTCTAATGGCTTTTCCTCTGTGATTTCCCTGCTTGGCACTGGGATGGAACCGTAAGAGCTGGGAAGGGAACAGCAAGGGTGGAGCCCAATATAAGAATGATATGAAGCCATTAGAGAGTGTCCAAAGGAGGCCACGAGGATGGGGAAGGGCCTTGATTTGAAACTGTGTGAGGACACTGAGGGCACTTGGTGTGTTCAGCTGGAGCAGAGGAGACTGAGGGGAGACCTCAGTGCAGTTCCAAGTGCCTGGGCAGGGGCAGAGGAGGGGCAGGGACTGAGCTCTGCTCTGGGGGGACCAGGGACAGCAGCCAGGGAATGGCTGGAGCTGTGTCAGGGCAGGCTCAGGTTGGATCTCAGCCAAAGGTTCTTCCCCCAGAGGGTGGTTGGGCACTGCCCAGGCTCCCCAGGGCAGTGGGCACAGCCCCAAGGCTGCCAGAGCTCAGGGAGGGTTTGGCTGATCCTCTGGGGCACAGGGGGTGACTCTTGGGGCTGGGCCTGTGCAGGGCCAGGAGTTGGACTGGATGGTCCTTGTGGGTCCCTTCCAATTGAGCATATCCTGTCATTCTGTGACTGTAGCGTGGCCGGATGATGGCAGGGTCCTGCACTGCTCTCAGAAGCTCCCTGCAGCCCTTGGCATGTTGGGATTTGTGTCTTCACTGCATTAAAGCAGTTAGTGGGTTCGGGGACTATTGTAGGGGTTGTGTATATACTGTGGGGGACTATCCTTTAAGTTTATTGCTCTGCTGCAGGCCTGCCATCTCCTCAGACAGCCTGGGACTCTGTGCTGCTCAAGGGAAGGTACCCCAAAATGTTCTTTTGGAAACCCAGGGTGCAAAAGCACAGACCACCAGCTCTGATTGTAACCCCAGAGGGAACTGTGAGCAGCACTGTTCAATTTATTGTATTATGTCACATTTTCATTTCTAAACCCCAGTAAATCCTTAACAGTGTTCCTGAAAACAGCCTCTAAAATTCTCACTTGATTATATTTTACCTCCAAAGATGCTCTTTCTCTCAGACATGTGGTGCTGGCCATGGTGAGAAATTTGGAACAGCTGAAAATATCTGTGTATTAGAAATTTATTTACTGTCACCGTGTCTGTAATCTGTGCTGTGGACATTTCCAGAGACTGTGTTGCTGCACTGCAGAGTTTTAGAAAGCTCTGCAGAGATTAATGCTTAAAAAGAAATATTTTTAATCATTGGTGAAAGTGGTGGATGGTTTTGATTAGATGGTAATATTGCTGGTGATAAATTAACAGGATGAAGATGATTTAAGAATTGCATTGTCTGAACTTCAGATTTCAGACATGACAAATCTGGGTTCTGCCTCATTCATAGATTTGCCAAATCAAATTTATCCAAAGAGCGTGAACTCTATTTTTTGAAATTTTCCTGCACTGAATACCTCCAAATAAAGAAAAATGCTCTTCATATCCCTTCATTAACATGTAGTGTGCCATGACAGATTTATGAAAGACGTCTGGGTGCTGGAGTGCCCTGGTGCTTTATCCCATTTGGTAAATAGCATGGTGATGTGCTGGGCACTCAGCTTGCATTCTCAGGGCCATTCATCATCCTGGTGTGTGACTCCAGCCTATTGCACTCCTTTGTCTCAGTTTACCTGTGTATGAAATGTTGGTACCATCTCCTCCCACTCTTGTGAAATGTAATTAAGTTAATGCTTGAAGGTACAGTTTAAGTACAAGCTGCAGCTGTTATTTGCTAAGGTTTTGATGCATGTAAGGAAAAAGTCCTTCTTGGTTCACTTCAGTTTGGGGTTTATTTTTGGTTTCTGCCTTTTTTTTAGTTCTTTTTATCTCCTTCTATGTCTGTTACAAGAAAGTCAGGAGAATGTGACATTGAGTGAGTGACGCCAGAGCTGGTGGAGGCAGGAGGGACTCTGAGTGTGAGCAGTGATGCTGGAGATCATTAACACTGCTATTTATATCTGTAAAAACCAGGTTTCAAGGGGAAACATCGAGGCTTAGCGTTGCTAATTATACAGCTGTTAACTAATCTAACAGTGATCCTAATTCCACCAAACCTTGGCACTGACACTTTATGGCCCCGTGTGGGGGAGCTGGGGCAGCACTGAGCCCAGCCTGGGGGGACAGCAAGGCCTTCCACTGCACGTGTGTCCACCTTCAGTACAGCCTCTTAGAAAGGGTAAGGGCACCTGGGCTGGGGGTTTTAAGGAAATCTCCAATTACTCCTGAAGTCAAAATGACAGAGCAGGAGTTACTTGGAGGATTTGACAGCTGCTGAATCCTCAGAGTCACTCTAAATACACATACAGTGTTTGCATTATTAATCTAATGTCTTTGCACTTTGGTGTCTTCTGTGGAAGTATTGCCTCAGGGATCTATCTGCATAAATTTTATACTAAGATCAAGGTCTTTATTTCCATTTAAAGGCATAAATTAGAAAGCAATCTCACTGAAAAAGTCTGATCAGTCACAGGATCAAATGGATTCATCAGAAGTGTGTGATGCTCTCTCCTGTCACCTTCCCTGCTCCTGTGTTGAATCCCTTCCGTATTTTTGAAGTTTGAAATCACCAAAGTGACCTATTTTCCTGTTCATATTGTCTGTTTGCATTTCCCCCTGTTTGCAGGTGGGAGATACTTGAAGGGAAGACGAAGGGCTGTTCCTCAGGCAGCCCAGCCTCCCATGCCTCCTCACTCCACCAAGAAGCTCATGAGTAGGCAAACAGGGGCTTAAAGGCCCTGAGAGCATTGAATTATTGTCAGAGAGCTGGTTGTGTACACATTGACCTTATTATAACATTTACAGCTTCAAGGCAAACTCAGAGCAGCAAAGCCTGCAGCAGGCAGGTTTCCATTCGGGACCAGGAGCAAGGAGTCTGCTTTCTGCACTCGCTGGTGTTCCTGTTGTTAGTTTTCATGTGTTAGTGATTACCTTTACCTCCTCTTTTCTCCGGTATTATTTGATCCTCACTGAGGGCGAGAGGAGGTGGTCCAGTGGGAGGGAAAACCAGTTTAGGTCAGGGCATGGCATATGTGTGAAAAGCTTTTCGTGTTTGCTTGCTCAAGTGCATGAGTCAAGCAAATTGCCTGGCTGAGAGTCTTCTGAAAATGTCTTGTATTTGGGATGTTCAGATTGATTTTTTTTTTTTAATTAGTCTTTACTTTTTTAAAAGAAAATAATTATGTAAAGCACTTTTCATCTCCAGACCTCTCATGGTTTTGCTGTTGTGTTACCTTGATTTCCATGCATTCTGTGGGGATTCATTGCCTCCAGTCCTTGGGACGACCCCTCCACGATCACTGCCTGACAGAAGTCCTCATTTTCTCCCTTCTTTCCTCTCACCCTCCATCTCAGCGTCCTGAGCTTCCACAGATCAAAGGAGAGCTCTAGCTTATTTTTAAATTTGGTGTTTATTAAGTAAAAGGGACAGTATAATGTCATTATGGATGGCATCCTTTAATGCTGCAGAGCAGCAGCTGTTGTCCCCTTCTCTGCTCACAGAGACCCTGGTTGCTTGACAGAAGGTCTGTGAGCTGTGTCCTGACTTCTTCATTTGAAGAAAGCAGAAGCCATCCTTAGGAAAGCACAAAGGATTTAAATATCGTGTGTATGTTAGTTGGTGTTTTGGGAATAAATACAGACTGTGTTGCTAGAAGTGCAGTATGCTGATCTCAGTTTGTGTCTGCTGTTGTGTTATGGAATGGAGCTGTTACTCCCACTGCTGTGTTTACCTGCAGTGTGTCTGCAGATGATAGGAGTGACAGTCTGCCCATGTCAAAATGGTGAATGTTGCCACTCTTTTCCCTAGTTCCTGGTGTTCATAGTTAGAAGAGGTGACCAGAAGATGTGGAATGAAGAGGAGAAAGTATCTCACACTCATATTCTGTCAGATTACTCAGGGAAAAGCAAATGAGCTTTTATTTTTTTTCCTAGTATTGCCAAAATATTTGTGATACAGTCTTTGCTGGAGTAGGGTTTTTGCAAGCCATTCCAGAGAGCGTGCAGCTCCTGGGCTTTGTAGATACCCTGTGTATGCTCAGAGGAGCTAGAAACAGTGATTTGACTAACTTCCCCTTTTTTTACCCTGCAGCATTTCCTTCATCCCCTTGGGTACTTGTCCACCCATAGGCTTGTGTTTCCAGAAGTACTCAGTGAGGTATAATTCTGCTTTGTGAACTCCAGGTCTTGGCTGTTTTCACACATCCCTATCACAGCCTTCCTCATCAGCAGGTGTCATTGCAACCTCAGGACTGTGCTTCTATCCCCTGACTGATTGAGCCCAAATCCACAGTCATTTTGAGGCAGCCATCCAAGCCTT